TCTCGACTAGTCCTTGCAGCGCTAGTCGGATCCCGAGCCTCGGGAAGCAGGTCGAAGTAAGTCTAACATCCTACATTTACAGGAAGGAGAGTGAACACTGGATCCGTAGCCTGACATCCACAACATTATTGTTCTTGTCATCCGTGCACGCGTCAGCTCGAATACTTATTGGCAATAAGTTATCGATATAAACGCTTTCCGCTCGCGAATCGGGCTCGCAAAGCTGTTGTACGCACTACTATCGGCCACCTCTATCACGGACGCTTCATCTACTACCTCATCCACCGCGCCTCCGCGCGTTTGCTCGTGCCATGCGCGCGCGAACGATTTCATGGCATTCCAAACCCAAACCCGCCATCAAGGGGTCTGTTGTTATGAGCGCTCGGAAGAAATCATTCGTCTCGCTTGACGCTTATCAAGCAGCCTGTTAAACATTGCTTGTATGTGATGGAACTATTGCTAGCGTCTTTTTTTGCTAAGAAAATGGGCCTCACTCGTATTGCTTTCTTAATGCCCGCGTTATTAAGCAATATTTAACATTACTGTACAGGGGGTTGCGAGTAACAAGAAACCGTAACGTTGAGAAATTAAGCCTCATTTTTTGTGCCCTTCGATAGTAATTTGAGCAAAGTTGAAGCATTATGTATATGTTATTTGCTAAGAAACTGAGCCTCCGTCTCAAATTCGCCTTTTTTTTATTGCCTGTGACCCCCATGTATGACTGTACAGCGCGGGGATGTTCCCAGCGATGCGGGAAATGTACCCCCAGATGACCTTCACGGTGGTCGCGCTGCAGTGAGTACCGTCGCACTTTTCGTGTAACGTCGCACTTTCCTCACTTCCGAATTCAGCAGCTTCTCCGACTGTCAGTCCTGCACCCGCATGCATAAAATCCTTCCCAATAAAATCTGGCCGCGGCATCTTCGTCGACGTCGCGCCCGCCGTGGATCGGCGACAACCATCGCCTCGAGTATTTATGAACTAAATAATTTATTTCGCTTGAGTCTTCTCATCTCCGTCGTCGTCGGCTAATAACGATACGTGTCACGTTCTAGCAAGTGAATTCGCGCCGTTCCAGCAGATCTTCAGCTGCGCATTTCCGCCCTCAGATAAGGCCAGGGGTTATTATGAAGGACCAGTGACAAGAACAGTGAGATTGCTAGAGCATGGGCAAGAGGGGAAAGGTTTGGACAATGATTAAGGGACAAGTACTCTACCCGGCAAGACCGCCTGCCCTACAAATCCCCTCTTTAAAATATAATAAGAAAACCGCAAAACGTTGAGGCTATTTTTTTTCTTCGTTCGTAACGCACTTGCTATATGAGGCCCAGTTTTTTCACTTTTTCCCAACTGAAAAACATTGCATGGCAGTCAGCCTCCTTGGCATTGCGATGTTGCTTGCATCTCTTTCCACACACCTCAGCGTGAATTTAAGCCACTTTGAGTGGCGCTCACTGATCTTGCCGATTTGCGCGTGTGTAGCGGCCTTCACCTTCATTCTGCAAGCCCAAGGCATTGTCATTCCGAGGCCCATTTTGACAAGCGATGTGGAATTTGTGCGCAACAGGTCTATTGACCATGTTCAAATTGGCGCTACCTTCCGCACGCTTGCGAACAGTGTCAAGGTGTTGATCGTGCACATTAAGGATCGTGTGAATAAAAATTGGATCGTTCATGTCAGCACGCCATCTCAAAATAAAAAGGCTTTCAGAGCGAGCCATGTCTACGTAGGCGTCGACCAGGGAAAGGTGGGCATCACCGTTTTGCTGTGCCTCGCAGACAAACCTAACACCTACGTCCATATTGACGGCGACCTGTGCTTCGAGTTCGAGACCGATGGGCGAATAGTTGAGTATTATGCACAATTTTTCGGCACAGCCCCGACGGCATGCGCTCGCACCGAGACAACCATTTACCGCACTTCTTATCGTTCACGCGTCCTGTGGGAACATCAACCCTATGTGAGCGGGGATTTGAGGAACGCGTACGATTATAGCCATGATGATATTGAGCTGAATACCGAGTCAATCAACGAAAAAACCATTATGCATGGCGAATTTCGCGAAACCAGTTTAAAGTATATGTAAATATGCTCATTTATATTCGTGCTTCCTGTGAATAAAATGTTGCATAAAAGAAGAAAGCTCCGAAATGTTATCGGATACGATCTTGCTTACAATCATTATGGCAAACTCAGCTGTTGCATTTTTGTATATACAACTGATTGAAAGCGTACAAATATTAGATGTCGTCGTCGTCACGGCGATCATCATCCTGACAACCGTTTCCTTCGTCCTACGGAGAAAAATGAAGTCACGTAGACAGGTGCCAGCAGTGGAGGCTGTTTACCACTTGAAAGCACACGGAAATGTGATCTGCGACACGTTTAAACACATCCAAAAAGAAATTGCATTTCTCTCTGCCCTCGACACTCCTTGCATGACTAATAATTATGATTCCTTGAGCTGGCCCGTTGAAGATGAAGGCCTATTTGAAGATCAAGTCCGAAATATTGAAAGATTTCATAAGCGCCGACTCGTTATTTATCGAAAAGTAGAGCAAGTACCAGAGATGGTATTAAAACCGGATGTGAAGTGGGCGTCCGGCATTTTTACGACAGCTCGATTTCTGACTGCTAGAAGTGTTTTAGATCTCAACAACCGAGTCGTGAAACACCCGCAATTGGAGATTAAAATGAGTGAATTGTTGAGCGATCCAATACTCGAAAAGTCGTCCATCATTGTCATGTCATGTCGTAGATTTCATGGAAAATTGAAATGTAAGCTCGGAAATGAAATAACTAAAATTGAACAAGACCGAATCGCCGCGAGAACAATTGAACTCCGTCTTCTTGATTTTCCACTTCCCCCGGATTCGAGCAATCCAAAAATGAAAAGACGATAGGTCAAGAGTCAAAAATTGAGGTTGAAACGAGGCAAATATATGCGAGTTTGCGCGGCGTGTATCGGCGCAAAAAAGAGACCGACCTTTTTATAAACTTCAATGGACCGGTTCAGATGCACGTCACCAGTGGGACAGCATCCGAATACGACGAGGTCCAATTTTCAATTGCGGCTGACAAGCAATTTTCGTTTCGCCTGTTCCCACAGGCTGCAATTTGGCATGACGCTGAGGTAGCCATCATGCGTCTGTATTTCGTCCGGAGTTTCGTACCATCATCGGCATCACGACCTTTCCAAGGATCTTTGCACCTGGGGGCTTACGATTCAAGTATGAAGTTGTTGTCGACAAACGTAATGGATGTAGTTCACACAAGACGACTTAAAACCCAAAAATTTCAAATTGTTAAAGAAGAAGAGTGCTACGATTACAGTCCATCTGCACGCGACAATGAAACAAGTTCCGACGAACGTACCGACGCGTTGAAATACGTAAGCGTACGTGCAGATGACGTGACGTGAAGAGGGTGATATTCATGCCACATTGATAGCCGGCTCTTAGAAAAGGCGTAACGTACGGGGATTATCCGTGGGGCCCCCGGGGCCCCGTGGGCCCCCGGGCTATGTGACAAGTTAGTTATATGTTAGTCACATAGGCGCCTCCGGCGGGGCCCCCGGGGGCCCTGCGGGGCTTTCTAAGAGCCGGATTGATAGTGCAATCTTGAAGACAAGACGCGAGACGAAATTGAACTGGTGAATGGGGCGCACCCCGCGCGTCCCGCCGCCCATCGCCGCCCACCGCCGCCCGCGCCCGCAGCCCAGCCGCGCGGTAGCGCGTGCGACTGTTAATCGCGAGGTCGAGGGTTCGAACCCCTCCGGTGCAACTTTTTGCATCCGGCCAGCTCATGGAAGTCGCGTCGCCGTCGCATGGATATGAGACCCCCGGTGCAACCAAGGCTGACAAGGTCGAGCAGATCCATTCGGATCCGCGTCCTTTCAAAACTTTTGCCTTTTTTGAGGATTTGATTCTTTTGCAGTGAATCCGTAAGTCCTAAAAAGTTTGCGCATAAAACTCGCTTGATTATTATTGATTTTCTCTGTACGCAAACGATTCATGTTTTGATAACTTATGTGCAGATACGTTGGGGTTTCATGCGACGGTACAAATCCGGGAACGGGCCGGCCATTTGCATTCAATTCAGGTTTTTCGTTCACCTTCACATTGTTGTTCCAATCATATAAATTTGTCAAGTGTTCAATTTTTTTTCGCAGGTTTGCTTCTTTTTCCTCAAACTTATCAGCCATTTCAGGGTCGGAGGGATATGGAGGGTTTTCAAAAATTACGCCTCGCTTTCCTCCTTTAAGTACGGAATATGTGGGTCCATGGAGCATGTGCTTGAGGATTTTGTTCGATTTGATGACTTCTGTATTCTTCAGACGACGAGCAGCGTCTTTCACGTTGCGTAAGTTTGAAGCGCCATAAACGACTCTCATTGGATCTGAAGATATAATATTTTCCCCTAAATTTATTTGTTGTTTTCTCTGCGCGTGAAACCATTTCAGAAGTATTTCCGGATCCCAGGCTCGCAAACCGGTGTGGTCGATAAAAAACTTTCCACTTTTGAGAAGTTTGAACATTTGTTCCTTCGTTATGTCACCATATTCCATGAAATCCGGGTACGTCCCATTGGCACTCTGTTTGAGGTTTTGAATTCTTTTTGAAATATTTTCGATTTCAATTTTTGTTTTTTCGCGTCCTAGCTGACGACCTTCTCGCGTGCCTTCTTGCAAGTCTCTTAGCTTGTACGCGGCGATCAATGCCGCTTGTTCGGCAAGCGCATTTTTCTCCCGCTTTATAATCGCTCGACGTGCTGCTTCCCGTTGAAAACCGATACTCGGCGGAAGACTCATATCTTATTAATACATTTAAAAGGGAAGGGCCTTTTTTTGCATCCCGCCAGCTCATGGAAGTCGCGTCGCATGGATGCAAGCGCCCTCAAGCGGTGAGCGGCCGTACGCCTGCGACGTGCCCGGGTGTGCCAGGCCGCCTCGCTCACGGGTGCACAAGCGCACGCACAGCGGCGAGCGGCCTTACGCCTGTGACGAGCCCGGGTGTCAGTCGACTGGGCAGCCGTTCGACAGCAGCCAGCGAAGCATATCATCGATCGCCGTTGCGCCAAGCGCAGCTTTGCAGTCGTCATAACACACCCTAACAGTTAAAAGTAAGGATCCGAGACAATCAATGAACAATGCTGAGTTTCACGACGGAGCAGCAGCGCATTATCGACCATGTGGCCATCACTGGCCGGTGCGCCACCGTCGTCGCCGTCCCAGGCGCTGGCAAGACTACGCTCGCCCTCGGGCTGGCACGCGCGCTTGATAGCAGAGGCAGAGGCGAAACGATGGTTCTTCTCACCTACAATCGAACGATCGCTGACGAGGTCAGTGCGCGAGTGACTCGCGAAGGCCTCGCGCATGTCGCAGCGGCCCACACGATCCATGTATTTATGGGCAAGTGCGTCGGCCAGCTCTGCAAGGACACATCCGACCTCACACGCATCACGCGCGATCTGAATAGCGGCACGCTCGAACCCAATTGGGATGCGCTCATGTTTGACGTGCTCCACATCGACGAGGCCCAAGATATCAACAACGTCATGTCCGCTGCGCTCGAGGCCGTGATAAGCCGCAAGCCACCAAGCAAAACGTTCCGCATCGTCGTTTTGGGTGACGCATACCAAATGCTCTACGACTGGCCCGGTCTCGGCACCGAGCGCGCAAACACGGACATGCTCTATTTACCGCACCTGCGCTTTGCGCGCTTTGTCACGTCCGAGCCAAACCCGACAGCCGAGTGGACGTGTTTCCCGCTCACACTTTCATTTCGCTTGACAACGCCGATCGCAGCCTTTGCAAATGCGTTTTGGGGGCGAGATGCTCGTGCATGCATCGTCGCAGGGAATACCAAGGATTCACCGATGCCCGTGACGCTGCACCTGCTCGAATCGTATTACGGTCCAAAAGTCACCGTTGAAGGCGTTGAAGATCGGGGGAGGATAAATCTCACCGGATATAAAATCGCATGCCTCGTCAAAGAGTGCGTTCAAAAATATGAAATTGACTAGGTGGTTGTGATCGCCAGTCAGATTGGAAAGCCGTCGCAATCTTCAGGATTTCGACCTCTAACGCCGCTCGCGCTCCTATCGGATGAACTTGCTCAGAAACCACACGAGATACCTACCTTTATAAGTGCAAGCGAGAGCACCTCGAAAGCACGCAACAGCAAAGACAAGCTCAGCATCATCACGAGCTGCAAATCCAAGGGCATTGAACGCAAATGCGTCATTTACATTGGCTTGATACGTATTCACCGAATCGGGTGCACGACATAAACCAAGTGTGCGTATCGCTGACGCGCGCCAGCGAGGAACTGCACATATTCACATCGGTCAAATGTGATATATACCCAATTGAAGGCCGGCCCGGCGGTGAGTTTCCGCGCGAGCGCGAGATCAAGGCCAGGTACGCCATCGACGAGATGGTTCAAAATGGTCTACTCACAGTGGTCAACGCCGACATGCCGGAATGCGTCCGCAGCGCGACTCAGATGCTTGACCTTCTCAACGAGACCAGGGTTGAAACAATTCGTACAAAACGGTACGAGGTGACCAAGCTCACCGAACACATCTCATTGGCCGTACAGAATGCATTTTGCGCAATGGTGATTTTGGGCATGCCCACCGAGTCGACACTGCTCGATGATCGCAGCAATGTCCTACATGCATCGCAACACGGCAAGCAATCGCACCAAGTCGGTCACCTCGTCTACGATGTGAGCAGCTTTTTCGGATCTGCCATTCCAATGTTTCACCACCACACCCGACATGGCACTCGTCACCCGGACATGGCTCTGCTCGAGCAGAAGGGGCTGATTCAGAAGCATCAGAAGGGGCATCCAAGCTGGAAAGTCAGTGATGCGCACCCAAGCTTTTATGTGTGGGCAGCGATCGCGTCCGCAGTGGCTAGGAATGAGCCTGGCGCCTTCAACACCGAGCGGTACATGGGCAGCAATTTTAAACGGCTCGATGCGGGCCCTGGGGAGCTGGCGTTTAAGCGCGCTGCCAATGTGATCACGCGCGAGCTCGATTGCGAAGAGGCAGGTCACTACGAATTTGGTGTGCAATACGACTGTACAAGCGGAGTCGTGAACGGGCGTTGCGATTTTTGTATTGACTCTGGGAACGAGCAGGTCGTTTACGAGTTTAAGCACACGTCGGCGGACGGCGAGTGGAGTCAGCGCGTGCAGCTCGCAGTCTACGGGGCGATGCGTGCCCATCTGACCGGCAAGGTGGTCAAGTGCGTGTTGCTCAACACGAGCACCCCCTCGCGCCTCGAGTTTAACGTGCACCCGGCGCGCGCGATCGAGGCGATGGAAATGCTCATTGCCAATGCACAACTGAGCGAGTCCCCCGACGAACGCTCGGCCCGTCGCCGTCGCTTGTCGTCGGCGGCAGCCGTCGTCGCAGTAATTTCGGTCTCCGCTGGCGGCGGCGTCTCGGAAGCTGGAAAACTAGGTGGGTGGGAAGAGCGTGTCGAGCAATGACGGGCTCGAGCTCAGCTTTGAGCAGGCCGACTCGTTTTCTACGACCTCGGTCCCGCAGCGGTAATCCCGTCTTTTCAGAATTTCACTACGAGCGTGTATTTCAAAACATTAAAAATAGTGGTCTAGCTCGAGAATGCCCATCGCGGTCTTTACATTCATAGCGAGTCATTGTCTTCTTCGCCCCCCTCGGAGTCATTGTCTTCTTCGCCTTCCTCGGAGTCATTGTCTTCTTCGCCTTCCTCGGAGTCATTGTCTTCTTCGCCTTCCTCGGAGTCATTGTCTTCTTCGCCTTCCTCGGCGTCATTGTCTTCTTCGCCTTGACCGGCGAAGAAGGCGTCGTCATCTGGCAATCCGTGCTCGAGGAGGTACTGCAGAACATGCTGATGCCCGCTTCTCCTAGCATATTCACACGTCGTACGGCCGTATCGCAGCGTCTCGAGCTGCCCAGTCCTAGCTGCCGTTTCACGGAGGACCCCATTCCACGGGCAACCGTGCTCGTGCAAGTATCGCAGCACCTCGAGGTGCCCTCCAGAAGCTGCAAAGACGCATGCG